CCATCATCAAATTTCGACATATATCACGTAATGTATTCGCAATAATTCTTGCCGATGCGTTATCACATCGAAAAACATGACATTTATAGATTCGAGCAGATTTATCCTTATCCTTGGCAACATAAGCAAAATCTCTAGAATCGAACAGAAATGAACATTATCTTTTTCTTTTCTTGTCGATAAACTAACCTGGCATTTTCTCTTCCAACGCCCCAAACTCGAATCGATGGGATTGCCTGTTTATGTAAAATAGTCATTTCACTTGGATCGATTAGAAGTATATCAGTGTTGTTAATATCCATGTAGAGATCTTTGCCTTCACCCCATCGACCGATACCATCGTTGATGCCGCGTGTTAACTCATGAATGCAATGGTTCACAGCACGACTACTCCGTTCAGTGGTTAAATCTTGTTCATCAACCACCGTCCAACCAAGCGAACGGACATAAAAACGATGCTGTTGGGTAGTTGTCTCATCTGTAGCCTGAATTCAATAACAAAAATTACCGGATGTTTTAAAATAATGAAAAATCTTTCCGACATCACTCAGTTTCGGAAGTAGTTAGAAGTGAATATTCACACAATTACGTCTTTCAACAATCTATGCCTATCTTAGATCGAGACGGAGAAATAATGAATTTGGAACTTAGAAGCGTGATTAATGAAATAGTTTTTCTGTACTTACTTTTATTGAAGGACTCGAGTCACTTTTATCCAATAGTGAATTGGAGTCAAAGCAAGCGTCGTTCAATGATGAGGATGACGATGACGAAAGTGTTGATGAAGGCGAATCAACAGTTAAATCTGGACGTTCACGTGTAACTGTTCCAGTTCGTTTATGCCAATAATAAACGCCTTGTTCGTCTAAATCAAATCTTTTCTAGATGAAATTCTTCAGTTGTATTCATATGAACTCTACCTTCAAATCGTTCCCATCCGGACGGAAGAATAGTATCTTCAGTGGTCTGAAAATAGGAAAATTTTCGTCTGAATGCTTAGTTACATCAAATACACACCATTGCTGATTGTTCGATATTCATTTGTATTCCGCTATCAGTTGATACAGTTGGTGATGAAATATTAGATTTCCTATGCGAGAATCAATTTAATACAAAGATAAACAAACAGCATTCCTACCGATTCAACTGACATTCATTCATATTCACAACTAAAAATGTCAAATAGATTCATACAACATTCTTCCAATGAATTGTTTTCTGTAGGTCTATGTCTTACTTTCTCAGTTGCAAACATGCGAACAAGAATACCGAATGATTAACGCTGTGCGGTTGGAATGTAATCGGCGCCACATACAAAGCAACCCTGAGCATTGTAGATAGCGCTGTTCCTTATTATAAATAAGACCGATTGCTTAGTTCAGATAAGGCATCAATTAATCGTATGCATACATCGAAACATGAAGATGATTGATAAAAGCCAGTGAAATTTTTATTATTTAAATTATAAATAAATCTCATGAATTAACATTCTTTATTAATGAATTCAACAATCCATCTAGTTATATGAACGTTTCATGTGAATCTTTCTGACACAAATCGGTTCAGAGAAAAAAGTAATGTAAGATTATTTTTACAGATACTGATAAGTATCATCTAAGATTGGAAAAGACTCAAATGATGGTTAATTCCTCATGACACGCACATATTTATATAAGGGTATGGCCTTCTGTGAGCATTATAGTTGATACCATATGCAGCTCGAATTTCAAAATAGACAATATTTTATTGTTTGTCGAAAAAAAAATTAGCAAAATAATTTCAGTTTTGATAGTTCTAAGCATCGGATGTCGTTTTCTTCTCCTCGGCGGATTTCGGCTTATGAAAACTAATCGATGGTAAATTAGTAGACGTTCGCAGTGAAGATAACGGATTTGAAATTGATGCAGGTAACTTTGAAACGTCCGGCATGGGTTCTTTACGCACAACGCGGAACACAGCTGCTAAAAGAATACCAATAAGAAGGCCAACAAGTATTCCACCGATAACAGCACCAGCTTCTGCACCACTTGAATAGGTTTCCTTGAAAACTTGTTTACCCACAGCATGTGATGACATGAATTCTTTTGAGCCTTTCAACGAACCTCGTACAGCTTGAAAGTGAACCGATGAACTTGTATCGTCAAGTAATTTCATGATGAAATCGAATTTTCCCTCATCGATAGCTCTCGCCAGACGGCCCCGAGTTTCGTTGGTTTTAGGTTCACTGTCAACAACGCCACTGACTGTTCCGGGCGAGGGTGTTTGACCAAGTAATGTAAACAAAACGGTGACTTCGTTTGTCTTGTCTTCATGGTCAACTTGAACTTCTGATATACGTGAATAGCTCGTTTCCGTAAGATAAGCCAAATTGCTATGAATCTGTCGTTCCAATAAACGTCTATCTAAATGACTGCCGTCGATAGCTTTGCCATCACTAACTTCAAGTTTAAAACCTAAATGTAGATAATCATAATGAAGTGAACGATAGCATAAACTTGTATCGAAATCTCGTGGATTGGATTCAGGCGACATTTCATAGAATTCGTATTCGATATCTTCTGTGCGCATATTGGTTATCGACGGGTTTGTAAGATCATTGAATCGATACATTCGTAGAAACAAATAAACAGGATAATCAAAGTGTTTATTTCTTTCTGACGGTGGGCGCGCGTAAGGCGCGCGTACTGACCATCCATATTCAATGCTTGTTGCATCCCAGGTATCACCACTTGGTTTGCCGGTGTCAACATCGACGATAGGAGGAAACTTGTCGACGGAGCTTGTCACTGCTGCGCACCGAATAGTATCACCCCGGCATGCTAGAATTAATAGAAACTGAAATGTAATCGATCACTGGGTGATGAGGTGTTTCTTACGTCGATATCCGTTGAATTCCCAAATTCGTTCTCGTTCACGATAAATAAATCGACGTTCATTTTTTATGAAAAAGCCAATTGGATCAACAATAGGGTCAACATCAGGAGATTCCGTGCCACGAGTGATCTTACATGTACCAACACTGTGATCAATAGTATAAGTTAGATTATCACCGAAATCATGGATAATTGACTGGTAATGTTCAGACCCAGGTGGAAGAAAGTCATAGTGGATACGTCGTGGGCCACGTTCGGGATGGTCGTAACGCAGATGAAATCGTTGCCATTGTGCTGAACGAGATGACGATGCTTCCACACGAACAGTAAATCGATCAGGCCAAGTAATACCAGCATCGCGAAGAGAAATCAAATTCTGGCCAAGACCACTATCACAGAAAACACCTTTTGGGGGAGTTAGTTGATCGCTACTTTCGACGATTCCAGGTCGATAATTATGAATATTGAAGATTTCGTCGACTTCGGCTGCTTGAGTTCCATTAGGGAACGAAATAGATGCATTGATAATCGCTTGAATAGGCACTGCGAAATCGCCAACAACACCTGTTGGTAGTATGAAACCTTTTTGAGCGAACGACCATACACGTCGGTATGTTCGGAATTGCGACTTATCAATGATACATGTTTCCCATTGATCAACTGGTATACCGCGTACCATCGATTGGCCAATAAATTTTGGTCGAATTTCCGGCCGTCGTGGATCGTTGCTTGAAAACAGCAAGAATTCATTTAGCGGACGAATATGCCAGGTATTATTTTGTCCTTGAATAGCCGATGTTCCATCTAAGCAAAAATTTCTAGTAAAACAAAGAAGCTTTCAATCGACATACCCATATCAAGATTGGTATCAATATCACTAACAAGACAAATTTCTCGCCGAAGATAAGTTGATTTTTTCAACGCCTCATAATAAAAATATTCCACATCGATGATACCTTGAGAATTTTTGATCAAAATCAGTTTATTTGCCTCGAAATCATACAAATATTGATACATTGTTATTTCGCTTGGCACAGTTATATCTAGTATATGTTTGACTTCTACTCTTTCCAATGCGAATTCAACTCGCGTCGGAAAGCGTGGCAATGGTCTGTCGGGAACTGGTGGAGTAGATGTGTCGACTGTACATACAGCCGGGTCACCGTTCCAAGTACTCGATGGTGTCGTAGTTGGATCTTGAGTCAAACATTTCGATATACACAAAACTAGCAAACAGAATAGCTGATATTGTTTCATTTTTAACTCAAAATGAAGATATAGACGAGTTTGGAATATAAATATACATGATTTAGTAGATTACAAGTAAGAATAAGAAAAGTGATAAGATAAGCAAATTTCACTCGAGTCAGAAGCAACAACGACAACAGCAGAGGTAGAGAAATTAAAAAAGAAGAGCTGTGTTGTTGTACGAAGATAAGACGAGCAGATTTTATTATTTATAGAGACTTTGTCGACCATTCATTTATCTTATTAATTAGTATTTATTCAATTAGCCTTGGTCTAGTTTATCCATCCAGTAAGCGCTAACAAGCAAGATTCGTAATTGAAACAAGACCATGTTTTGATCAGCGCGAGATGATCGTACCGTAGGAAACAACTCGTTGCTATAAATAGACGATTGAAAAGGTCGTCCATGAAAATCGATGATTAAAGCCATAACAATTTTTCACGTACTATGACTAGACTTAATTGACTCTATTATGTCAAGATTGTCCTTGACTAGGAAAAACTGCGTACTGTGTTTTTTCTCGCTAGGATCTAATCTTCTCTGTTCTATGCTGCTGTTTCTTTTTTTTCTTTCTTTCTTTGCAAAATAAATGTATAAACGTGTTTTCAAATGACGAAATGAGAGAGAAAAAAACAGGATTATTGTAAATAAAGACCAATTCAATAACGAAACAAGACATAAAAATAGATAAGAGTCGGAATATATACAAGAATAAAGATGGCAAGAGTGAGAAGTCGAAACGAGGGTATTTTATAGAGGAACGGTTGACGGAAAAACAATGTTTGTATAATTGGAACAAAGAAAAAACGAACATATTTTCAAGCTTCTTGTTTTCTTCATGAGTACGGAATTGAGTACGATGGAAAGGTCGGTTCTTTTTACGGCCACAAATGCGTCTGTTTCAAGTTTGTTTCATAACACAAATCATTTCTGCCTGATGTTGTGGTATAGAGAATCGGTTCCTGTTTAATGACATTTCGACATATCGGTTGAGTCTGCTGTTGATGTTGTTGCTGTTGTTGACCAGTTAATACAATCGAATTAGGACTATTAGTTAACATAATTGTTTGTCCCGTGCCGATATTTGTTGTTTGACTATCTCGATTAATTAAACTAAATGAAAGTAATTCAGTGATCTTTGCATATGTCATTTTCTTGTCGCAAAGATTGTTTACTTTATCGGAATAGCTGCTGAGCCGTTGTTTGTCGTCGTAACTACCGTAGCGTTTGTTAATGATGCCAAAAAGTTTGAAGTCAATTGAGAAGCAAGTGCACTGATATCGATCGATGAAACGTTCATGTCCGGACCAACTAAATCGAATTTGAAATGAAATTTGTCGAAGGTTTTCGAAATTATTCTTACCAGTCATGATACGACCAATATTTGTTGTTGGTTGTTGAGTTATAAAACTATTGATCCCGGCAGGTGTCGATTGTGTAACCTAAGAAACGAAGGAAATATGGATAATTTTGTTTCTAAATTGTCTATATACATGTGTTGAATTTGAATGAAGATTCGTGTTATTGGTAATGTTATTTCCATACTGAATAGCATCAACAGATTTCGGAATCGAATAGTTGGGAATGTGATTTGATGTCGTTGTGGAGAAAAACTTATCACCCGATGGCGATGTTAAATATTGAAAATCGGGCAAAACTGTTGTTGTCGAAAATGCTGTTGGTATATTGTTGTTGTTGTTGTTGTTGTTATTGAGGAATGTCATGTCATGGCTATTGTTGGTTGATGAAGAACAACTGAGATTGCTATGCGTAAGGAACTGTACAAAATGATAGATAATGATAAATGAGTGGAATAGATGACATATACATACGCTATTAACACTATCTCCAAATGTTTGTTCATTGCTGTCATCATGTTGTTCAAGCATTTCAGTATCTTCACTACTACCACTTGCAACCGGCTTCGTTGTCGGATGTTTCTTGTTCAAAATCTATTTGTTAGCAAGAAATTAACAAAGATAAACGATCGAGCGTCGGTTGTCTACTTACGTCAATAATATCAACATTGGTACATGATTCATGTGGTTCATTATATTCTGCATATTTTAATAAGACTTTGTTGATATCAGATGATGCATATTGAAATAGACGGTCATTGCTATTGAATATCATTAACGCTATTTCACAACCACATAAAACCGATAATTCATAGGCTTTCTTCATTAAACCAAATTTGCGTTTAGTAAATGTCACTTGTCGAGTGCGTTCGTCATTAATTCGTGTAATATTAATCTTTTTCCGACCCATGATTTTTTTCGGCGATGTGTTCTTATTATTTGTTGGATGTTTGGTATTAAATGCCGTATTTGTCTGATTGTCGTGTAACATACTCAACTATGAGTGAAGAAGGTAATTTTTATGGTGAATATCGTCGAAATCAATATTGATAACAATCTTGGCACATAACCAAATTGGCTTTGTTCTTATTCAAACAAAAAAAAGTAAAGAAAACATCAATATGGATAGCTAAGAGGAATCGTCTTGATGATCTTATAACCTAAGATAAATGAGAACAAGGACAAAGCCTTGACATTTTGTCAGTTTGAACAGATAGGCAAATCTGAGCACATCAACTCGTAATCATATCCTTGCCTGTAAGGCTAACACTTGAAAAGAAAAGACTCAATCGTTTTCATCTCAGATGTTTTCTCATTTTCGGTTTAACGCGATTGACTGCAACTACTTGTTATTCGTACTAGATGACATATGTGCAAAAAAATGCGCTCGAGATATGCGACAAGTATCTGATGTTTATTTTGGCTTGGATTCATCAATATAGATATATACTCTTGTTCGAGTCTTTCTGTGTCTATTTAATTTAGAAGGGAATTACAAGATAGATCTACTTACTTATTAGACTAGAATCGTTTTAGCAAATACACAAATGCAAATAAATGATGATGCCACAAAATTTATCTTGCTGTCTTTGCGCTCGGCAAACCAGAATCAGAAAGGCAGATGGCTTGTATATATACGTATATAATCTCTCTCGCTCTCTTTCTCTTGTATTATCCTTTCCTCCTTCTCTCTTTCTCTCCTTCTTCTTCTCCTACACAACTGTACAGAATAACACCCATTGCGCCCTCACACATACTACTTGTCTTATGGATAATTCGACAAACAGAATCGTAGGCGTTAGACATTAAGAGCTAAACCGCCGTCGTTCGATATACACTATGGGATCTGAGAGAAAGAAGGAAGAACGAGAAGATGATGATGATGATGAAAAGCAGACATATGTGCATTAAGAAAGCCAACAGAATTGAGGTAGCACAATTGTCTATCGCTAACCTCGTTTCTTTTTCTTTTTTTTCTTCTCAACATCCATTTTCAAGTCAATTAGAAGGGTACGCATATGAAGATGAACTATTAAGCTATTATCATATTATTTCCTTTCGTCTACGTGATAAAGCCAACGCCTTAGAATATCACGCCTAGTTATCAATCAGGCATTGAAACCGCTATCAACAGTTGTTAGTCAACAGCAAGAGTTCTTCTTTCCGAAATCGATTTATTATGTACAGAGCAAAAGAACTAACTAATAAAAATAATTACATCTACAACGTTAAGATATATATATAAATAGATAGTTTCAATTTGTGTGTTTTTTTTTCTTCTTGCGGGCTCTACACACGTTTTTCGAATATTTCATCGAATGGTTTTACAAAATGGTGACTCTTCATTCCACAATGTCCGCATTCGAATTCTGATGAGTAGTTACTGAAATTGATTAAGCCATCTTTTATCGAAACAATTGGTTGAAAACACTTCGAACAGGATAAACGCGCTTGACAGCATGGAAATGCCGCAAACAGATCTGTACACAATGAAAATGAACAGAAGGATAAACAAAACACTAATCAACATACCATAATAATAGAGTGTACCGAATATAATTGGATCAAAATTGAATTTCGTCTTACATAGACGACAAAGTACATGTAATGAACGCATTGATAGGCACTCGAGACATATGCCATGTAGATACAGCTGTCGATCGTTATGATAAACAGCAACAGAGACTTTCCCATTATCACTGTGTTTAATAGGACTAAAAAGATGAAAGATTGAAAATTGTTTGTTATTGCTAAAAATATCTTTTCTCGTTCGTATCTTTCGTATGATTTCTGCTCGAGGATTGTATCCACCGAATCAGGAACATTACATATCGATCGTGTCAATCTGACAAAAATTACCTGAGGAAAAGTGTCCCATCAACAAGAGGATAACGATCATAAACAACCATTGATTGACCGCAAACAGTACATGCGACGTCTGTACAACCCACCATCGATAATTGAGATAAAACAAAACAACGCGTTTCATCATTTCCATAGGGACCTTCGTCTTCAAGACGAATATGTATAGCATTTCTTTTATGTAAAGGCAAACGATTGAGTATTGACCAATCTTGACGATGTTCAAAGATATTTCCAGCTGCTGCATGCTTTTCATCGAATTGTGGCAAAGTACCGCCCGTACTTCCACTACCCATTGTCGTGGAAAGTGACCCAATATTACTGTTTCCACTCGATCCTACGCCTGATTTTTTATTGTGTGCCATCGGGATCCCACCATTGCTGTTGTTTATATTTGTCAAACCCGAAGGTGAACCAAACGAAGATGATAAACTGCCTGAACTATGCGTTCGATATCGTGCGGAACGTCCACCACGTGGTACATTCAATGGTTGCGATCGATCTGTATCTGTCATCTATAAAATTCAAAACAGAAAAAAAATGAAAGTTAACAAAACAAAACACAGATGTTTATTTTGTATGATAACAAAGAGAGAAAAACAAGAATTATTTTGTTTTTTGTAGTTTGCGATATTCTCCTTCTTGCATTGACAATTCCGATAGAATATCTTTGACTTTTCGTTTGCGTTGAGTATCTCTGAATAGAAAAAAAAGGGCAATACAATGACATTCAAACAAGAACAACCATACTTTTCCATTTGTTGTCGAAGTTCTTCTCGTGCGATAAACTCATTGTCACGTATAATCTCACGAGTAGTCGACTTGACTTCTCGTATATATTTCTTTCGCAACTTCTGACGCTCAGCGTATTCTTTCGGTAATCGACTATTCTTTTTGCCCTCGTAACTAGAAGAAAGACATTACTTCAAATAAGAAGAAAGATTTCAACATACACAAGACCAAAACGTGGTTCATATAATCGTATCATTTTGGTTTGTTCTTTGCCTAGTTCAATATGTTTACGATTGGAGAGACATGTTGTTTGAATTGTATCAATTAATTGAAGGATTTCTCGACTCTGCTCGGAAATACTCTTGCACTTCGATGTTTCTGCGAACGTCTGAAGAAACGTTTTAAATGGTCGAACGATTTCGACAATCGCTGATAGAGATTGGTAGACATTAAGAAAATCCATGAAATGATTGAGACATGTGCGGAGAATAAGTGCTCTACAAAGATACATATGACAGTTGTTTGGAAAGCATAGACACAATCAAACACATACCGATGTTCATCATTATCATCATCAAGATCAGTAGTATCGAAAATAGTTAGTTTCGTGGATTGTGATTTCGAGTTTTTATTCAGAACAAGTAGTTGACTATTTCCTATCTGTTTTGATGAATATGATATGAAATGTTTCGATTTGTCGACTGGACAGGCGAGTTGAAGCAATTTCAAGAATAGGACCATTACTTCTGGAACGTAACGATGACTCTTTCCTATCCACTAAAGAACGAACGATGTCAGTATGAATTTACGATCAAACAAGTTATTTTACATGTTTCACAAGTTCGATTAAGAACAACGCTTGACGACAAGACGAAAGAGATTTTAAGGAAACCTTAATACACAAAGAAATTCAAAATATTTCGTCGATAAGTGTAGTCGTTTCACATACATGTTGAATGGCTTGAACAAGTAAAGTCATTGCTGGCGTTGTAATGGGATGACGAAAGTCTGATGTCGGGTATAAATAAGCAACTAATTTCAAGAAAACAATCTAAATTAACTAGACATTCGAAAAGAATCACTCTTGATTGAAAAATGTCACGTACTAAGGAGACGTCCACTTGAGCGAATTTGTTGTTCTCGATTTCTTCGCTTAAGTTTACATGATATTGTTTCAAACGATTCAAAATATTCGTTTTCGTTTCATCATTGTTCACCGTTTGTAACAATTCCAGAAGATTTTTACTTATTCGATTGTAAAGAACTTGATTCGGTGCGATAGAAGTGTAATAATCAAGGAGAACATCGAAATAATTCTGCATGAGCAAACATTGAATTTACTGGAAAGCAATCAACAAACACTTACAGTGAGAACTTTCTTTGGGATGGGTGGCAATCTTTTGTCATTAATTCGTTTCCAGATAACGTTTAATGTATTCTTATCTTTACTTAAACGATCTTCAAGTATATCAACGGTGGCTGGAACTATGAAAACAAACCGAGCAATGTTCGTTATAGAAATTATTGCAAGTTTACATACTTTCATCAAATTCGGCTAGCAAATCACCATTAGTCTAAATTACACAACGAAATATCGTCATTCTCCGAACGGAAAATGTCATCGGTAGTACTTACTATTTCTGCTGACCCGTCACCATTCTCTTCCTCGTCATTTTTTTGATCTTCATTATCAACTTCTACGGAATTGTCTTCTTCGTTCTCTGCTATTTCTTCTGTTTCATTCGTTGCTTCAATTCCGTTCTTTCCACCTTCATCTTCATCGTCGAATGTCACACGTTTCTTCGTTCCATCCATGATATAATAACTATTAAGCAAGAAATGAAATTCGATTTTCTGTACGAACAAAATATACCTTTCATCTAATTCCTCAACGGAAGCATGCGTTTGAGATCGATTCTTTGATAAAATTGATTTTAATGCTGGTCGTTCCATTCGCTCGTTTTCTTCAACCTTTTCACAATGATCATTGATTCTCAGATAAAAATCAGGAAATTTTCTATTTACCTGTAGCGCTTTCAGACGTTCAGCTGCTTCTTTTTCTCTTTCCTCAATACTCTTGATTGGTGCACCCTAGAAACAATCGAGTCGTACGATATTCTCATCATATTCATCAACTAACCGTCGTTTTAGCTTCGAACCGGAGCGAATTCACGAGTTTGTCGTAATCGTCCGATGTTTCTTTATTATCTTTCGTCGGTTTTTCTCGAACACCGACTAATTTACTCAATGCTTTCCACTGTTCGTCGAGTGTCGTGGTCATATCGAAGATTTTCTCATTTTCACGTTGTCGTTCATATTTATCCAATTTCGTACTTTTGATCATACTTTCGATCCATTCTTGCTTCGTTTGTGGTTTCCGTTGTTCACCTGTTGAATTAAAACCGCCAAAGAAGTGTTCGGAATTCAAACGACCTTTTCCTGGTTCGTCATCGTCATCATATTCATCAATAACTGGTTTCTGATTCAATTCATCCGATTTCGAAAGTGATTGGCCGTAATGCGTTAAATCTTCTTCGTCGTTCAAATTATAACGACTCTCTCGTCCAGGACGTGCTTTCTACAAAGAAATGAAAAGTGAGAGAATGAATTCACTAGAAAGTATCACAAACGGATCGTTCAGCAATGAGACGTTGCATCAATCTTTCGTCGGCTGTTAACGTTGGATCATTTTCACCCAGACGATGATCGATAAATGTACTTTTTTTGAACACCGAATTCAATTCTTTTAATAACGTTCGTTTTCGCTACGAATAAAACAACAAATAATCAACTAAATATATAACTAACGAATGAATTTTACTTTTTCAATTCCACGTGATCGTGCTTTGAGTGGCTGACCGCCTTTTTCATAATTACGTCTCTTTCCGAGTACATCATGTTTCAAGCGATTTACATGTAAATCAAACGGATTCGTTTTATTCACTGTATCCACTCGACTTTTAAAATTATGTTTATCGGCAGCAAATGGACGACGCTTCTTCGATTTCCCTGCTTTTTTCATCATATCCTATACTCAAAATTACCGAAGTGCTAAGACAAGACGAAGAAACCAACGATCAGTTTGTTATGAACTTCTATGGTAAAATATGGAACAGTCAGTTCCAACCAATTGGAAATGACCTATGTCACATTCTTCCAGATGTGTCACTAGAATCTTATATATATATATGTTATCAAGTAGCTGAAAATCGGTCAATCATTCGCTTTAATCTGTTGAAATTTAGAATATATTCGTAGAGAGTATTTCTACACTCTCCATGTCTAACCCTAAGCCTGTGTAATCTTGAATCCGTTTTGCGTATAGTGACTACTGTTTTCTTTTGAGAGTTGTGATGAATATTTTCTACTTGTACAGAGCTGAATAGATTCAATGAAAATTTTTAGTCAAATCTGTATAACTCTCATCGATTTTTCTAGCGAAATTATAATCATGATTGAATAGAATATATCGTTTAGGGAGTACAACTTTCCTTGTACAGAAAAAAATCTCGTTGCCATCCACTCATAATGACTTCGATAAAATGTGGTCTAAAGATAAAATACGATAACACAGTTAATAAGAACTAAATTAAATTGCTCAGCCCTGTTAAAAACATCATGCGTTCATCCTCGTGTACTAGAGAATAGATGTAACTCATCTAAATCGCTCTATCGATCGATGCGAAAGTATGTAGTAAAGCCATTTTTGTGGAATCTTTCACTTCATGTACTTACTGATGATGACATAAATCGACAAATACTAAATCTTTTCTTTTGGAAAATAATTTGCATTTACTCAAATCCAACATATACTAAAAGATTCTAATGAAATAAATTATGCGATAAGTATATTACAAAGCCTGTTCGTTTTGATCAGAACTCGAAGTACCATTTTTCAAAGGCTTGATAAAAGCCCCTCTCGAAAATTTATGAACATGTCTCAGACTTTATGGACATATATCGAGTAGTACCACCTATTCTATGTGTCGAGGATATTAGAGAAGATCATCTCCCGGGATACGCATGAACTGCCTAGTTCTTTAGGATCGGCTTGTTTAGAGAAAAAATGACAAAGACTAAACTTCTTTGTGGAATATTACAATTTGGGTAATAAAATTTTTGTTATAGTTCTTCTTTTGCGCTGCATTGTATGACAGAATAGAAAATTCCATGAAGTACAAATGAGAATACGAGAAAAAGAAACCACTAATTATAACACGAATGTATAAAACAATATTCACAACATTTGCTCGGAAGAGACAAGAAAAAAGCTTGAATTCCTACACGTGAAATCTCGCTGGTACTTCAAAGTGCCAACGATCCTGAGAGAGCCAATCGATTGCATTTTTACATTGATTTATAGCATACAGAGAATGAAATACAAAAACCAGACTCTCAACCATAGCAGTTATTAAAAAAAATCGTACTCCATTATCTCTTACAATAGGTAGACAATTCTCTAAGTATTTTCTTTAACTTTTTCCACGGATACTGCACGTAGGTGTTTTTCTTCCTTCATCGGTATGAGTTACTTAAAACGTGAATAATATCAATATATCAGAAGACAATATTATTGCAAATTATCACAAATAATATTCTTCCAAATACTCTCAATCAAAACTATATAACAACATGTAATATTAAATACATTAGTTCAAATGATTCGTTTTTATGGATGAATGTTCCTTTCGATACGCGCCATTAACCCACGCAGTGGCATAACTTTTTTTCGCTAAATAATTATATTTTTCTCTTAACGAAATCTATAAATACCATGACAAACTATCAAAAATGCCCACGTTGCCTTCACTTTTGATTGAATATTAAACGTAGAAAGGACATGCATGCTAAGACGATCTTCTTTCTTGCGATTTTGTTCATGTTTTATATTGGAATGTCAATAGCCGATGATATCCTCGAAGATTTGCAAGAGCAAACAAATGAATATCGACGTCGATTCCTATTGCGCAAACTGTATGATTTGTTCCTTGAGAGAGAAGCACGTGGACCAAGTTATTCACCTCCACCACCATTGCCTAAACGTTGGACATAGAAGATTGATCAAAGTAAGTGTTCATCGTCAAAGAAAAATAATGGATCTGTTGATCGATTTTTTTAGAAGTGGCAACATTGAAAAACAGCTACTTGAGATTAACTATAAGTTCATCAGTCACATCCGGATTACTAATGTTGAAATTATATATTGCGTTGAACGCTTTCCTAATTGTATGGATGATTGTGTGAAATAAAATGAATTCATCCTTTGAGAAAGATCAAGAAGAGAATCGGTTTCTCATCTACTCAGGTACGTCGGAAAGAATCCCGAAATTGGTCTGTCGCGAGCTTGCCGCTTGATTAATTTACCATCGACTGTCAGTAATTAGTTTCCTCTCGCGTACTTTATCAATGATTAATTAGTGTAAGCCAACTTTTTCGTAGGTGAAACATAAATTAGTGAAATTACCTATGTTTTCTGCGCATTCTATGAAGATTTGCACATTACAAATCTGCCTCATGTGTTTGACTTCTGCTAAAAGCTGTCAACACTCGATTTATCATAGCTGATTATTTTCAAAGGATAAGGATTATCTATCACAATGCTGTATTCCATAAGTAATGAGTAATAAACGAATCGTATCAAGCTAGAAAAGATTTATTGATGAAAAGAAAAGAAAATCATTCTCACGGGATCTTTACAATGAGAAATAAGCTCATATAAGATTAAGGTTATGTAGAAACACGAAATTCAGGTGTGATTTTAACGGCCTATACCGCTACCAATTTCGTAATTCTTGAAGGCAGCCCAAGTTTTAATGTCCGGACCTAAATAACGTACAGAAGAATGAATTAAATAAGAATGCAATACACGTCACATACAATAGCGTTTGCCAGTTAATTTATTGACACTTGGTTCGCATCGTTCTTCATATTTTTCCGACGCTTCACGTTTTTGTTCTTCACATTTCGTTTTTCCAGGATGAAAAATTGTTCGTTTCAAGAATTCCACTGCTGTTTCACGATCTAAATCATCCAAGTAAAACATTCAACAGTTGTACAACATAACAATTATCCAAAGACAAGTATTACCAACATCGAAGTCACTTAAGTCTTGGTCAGGTCTTGCGTTTATCATTAAACATAAAGAGGCAATAATGACGCATACAAAGATGAGTAGTTTCATTGTTACGATGCGCAATCTTTTTGATACAATGCAAGTCAATGAGGATATGATATTTTATCTTCTGTTGTCTACGATGTACAATCTCTCTTCTCCTCTCTGTTTATGTGTAGGAGAAGTTGTTGAATGATGACAAGATTCATTAGATTGGAAGAGATGTCATCGAGTAATTCAGTACGTCGAAAATATGAGACGACGAAAGGAAGAATTTATGATAGATGCGAGAGAAATTCGATATTCTATCATGATAGTTGTTCTTTATTTCGAATGTTGATCGACAATTTTGAAAAAACGTTTAGCATTGCTACTTAACAATTTTTCACATAGATCGGAATTTTCCCTAAATGTTCGGAGAATTAGTTCACCAGGGTTGTCTTCACCAAGAGGAAATGGACAATCAGATCCGAGCATGACACAAGTTTCTTTCATAGTTTCAACTAAGTATTCCAATGCACGAGAATCGTGAACAAGGGAATCAACAGAAAATCGGCCGATGTATGACGAAGGTGGATTTGAATTGTTATAAGCACAGAGATCCGGCCGACACGCATGCCCGTGATCAATACGGCCAAGTGTGAATGGAAAAGAGCCACCACCTAAACGAAACAAAGCGATTTTAACAAAAAACTTTTGCGTATCTTTCAATAACTACCATGAGCGAATATTAATCGAAGTTTTGGATATTTTTCTAGAACACCACCCATCAAAATCGAACAGATAGCTGCTGTTGTTTCAAAAGGCATTCTATGCATTTACGAATAAAATGTATTAATTCTTATCAAAAGCTAAACAGAGAGTTTGTTCTCACCCGCATAACCATGGCATCCAGTAAGCTTCGTACTGTTTTCCTACTGGCATGTCCCATGGATGAACAAATATACACGCATCCAATTTTTCTGCTTCACACCAAAATAGATCGAGTTCATTATGGTCCAAATTCCATTCATTCACATGTGTACCTATTTCCACACCCTTTAAATCCAATTCATTTACACATCGTCGTAGTTCTTCGATTGCTAACTTTGGTGCTTGTAATGGTACTGTGCCCAAGCCAAGAAAGCGTGTTGGATACTGTCGACATATCGATGCAATGTGATCATTTAATTCGCGAGAAAGCTGAAGAATATCGTTGACGTTTTCACATGCATAATTAAACAGTACAGGAATAGTCGAGAGAACTTGCATAGAAATGTTTTTCTCGTCCATTTCACGAAGACGAACATCAATATCAAAACAGTTGGGCTCTATCGTACGAAAGAATTTGCCATCTTTGTACATATCGAGTCGTGGATCTCCATCATTACGAGCTCGTAATTCGAGATACTTCTTAGCGTTTGCACTCAATTCACGCGGTAATATGTGGGTGTGTATATCAATGCGTGTCAAAGGCGCGGCTGAATCCATACTAAAAAGAGAAAAAGAATGACTAGAAAAAGTGGTCTAATACTGATTGCGTATAGCGAACGAATAGAATCAAACGAAAGCGAAAACACGATACAATGGAGGTGCACTGAGAGAACAGTAATATCGAATGGTTGTTTGTATATTTGGTCTTGTATCATAGATAGATTTATTTTTGCTTGTTAGGGTCGGTTTTATACTAAGAGCATTGGTAATGATTTTGTATTTCTCTTTTTATACAAAACAAACAAACAAGAATAGCATTATTTTCGTTGTTCGAATGTGCAAACGGAAAAGAAAAACATGAGACAAATAACAAAAATTAAATGAAACTAAGGTCCGTCTGGCGGTGGAGGTGGTGGTTGTTGCTGCAGATAATAATAATCAGCCGATGAAAAATTAGCATTCATCGATGAATACGGATATGTATAAGGCGGTACTTGATACTGAACAGAGTTTTGCACCACTTGATCGTTATTCTGGTAGTATTTCTGCTGATATTCCGGCCAGAATCCGCTATATTCTTGCTGAGCGTGATTCATCTTGGCCATCTAAAATTGAATTTTAAATACATGTTTTCCTATTTTGAAAAACTGACCATATCATATTGATTTTGTATTGTGGCATAGTGTTGTTCATAGGGATTACTGAATGACGATTGATTGTCATAGACAGACCCATAAGGTCCAGAGTAGGAGAACATTTGTGCTTTGCGTTCTTCTTCCTCTCGTCGACGTTTTAATTCGTCCCAACGTATGCGTTTCGCTAGTAAGTTTCCGACCGGTTTTCTTTTTGCTAGACGTAAAGCAACCTGTTCGGATGTTTCGTCTTTGTAGATCGGACAAAATTCTTGTCGTCGTTCATTTCGTAATGTGTCTGCAACTTCATTGAAAGATGTGGCAAGCGCATGTGGAAAAAGAACTTCTTTTGCCGCTGCTAATTTTCGTTTCCGTTCATCTTCATCGTCAAATTGAAGTTCTACTGAGACCTGCTTAAGTCGTTGTTGGACAGGATTCATTTGTATAGACTCAGGAGGTTTGTCTTTCGACGATGGCGAAGAAGAAAAACTATAATACATTGCATTTTTATCACTAAAAGTTGTATCTTGGTAATGTACAGGAGACGGTGCTTTTCGTGGCTGAGATTCACATTCCGAGGTGGAATCATCATCATCTTCTTCTCTTTGTCGCTTGGCTGATGGATTCATTTCCGTCCTTGGCGACGATTTCGATTTGTAGGCAGTTACCTTTCGCTCACAAGTCTCTGTAACAGATTGTAACAGATTACTGGACTTTACGTCCGTCATTATATATATCTAGAACACCTGAAAAAGAGAAAATTGCGATGTTTGAGATGATGGACTGTTGAGTGTTTGAGTAAATAATAGTTTCATTCGAAAACATGTAGTGTCGAGTAGTGTATAGTTTATTTTTTTAATTTCATGGTTGAAAAGCAAAAACATATCATTTTTCGATCGATATCAAACCATACGAAAATATATTTCACTAACGAAGTCAAAACCTCTACAGATACATAGTGCTGTACGTCAATATCTTCCTCATTGACAATCTAGAATAAAAGTTCTTCCGCGATTTATTAGATTAAAATATATATGCGTCGTTTAACAAATGGTGTGAAGCAATTCGGATGTCTTCCGACTCTCTAACCCATCGCCATTTTCGTTTTGCAATCAAGATAGACAATATTGGCACGCGACGGTTGAAAAACAAAGACGAGGTTTGAACGCAGGCATTGTGATCATTCGCCGAAGAAAGCTTTGTACAATACTGATCAATTCAAAACACTGAAGCAAAAAAATAGAAAAAGACAAAAAGAAGAAACACAAATCTTATTTAAGACGTTGAGTTATGTTTGCAAGAGCAACAGCAAAAGCTTGGAGAGGAGAAAATGGCCATTCGAAATCTAATGTATAACAATTATTTTCAATCCGACCGAATTGAATAACCTGAAAAGGAGAAGACTCGTCTCGATTTCAAAAGTGACACGCCTCAAATCATCTACCTGTTTGCCTTTGAACTCGATTTGAAAATTCTTTGCTGATTCGAGTGTAACACGACCACCAAAATCTAACTGATATACTTGAGACTGTTCATTCCATAGACTGAAAATAAACAAGATTTTCATATTGGCAATTGTTCTCTGCGGATTTCTAATCTTACGGTGGGCGATTTTGCATGACATAAAATGATGAATCATTTTGATTAGATGTTGCATCCACATCCGATGATGGTGAAAGCTTCGTCATAGAATCGTTCATTCCACTCGTACATGTCATCATGCGATGTCGTGGACTTGTATATTTCTAAAATGATCCGATTCGAATGATTGGTGCAATGATATTCAGTGATTTCTTACTCTGCGAGATGATTTATTGATAACGGTATTCTCTCTAGGTGTTGCTTCTTCGGGTGAACTAAGAGTTTCAATGTCACCATCGTCGTCGTCGTCGTCGTCAGCCGCATTATTATCGTCATCTGTATGAATGGTTTTGTCACCTTTAGAGTTTTTTTGCGAAAGAGACGAAACTGGAAGATATGCATCGGTGGTAGTTGAATTATTCAATACTATTTGTTGTTGTGGCGATGCTTGTGGACGACGCGAAAGTTTTGTTGTTTGGTTCAGAGTTGGATCACTGAAACTTAATTTCTTCTGCTGATTACTATTCAATGGATATAGATTACGATATGCTTCCGGTTCGAAACAGTTCTCGGGAACATTAGACATGGTACTTAGCAATGTTCGATTATTTGCATTTTCATGATTATGAGAATCAGATGAGTTATCAATGATTAATGTTGTTGTTGCGCTGGCTGTAGATGCATCGATATTATTTGTAATCGATGTGACGACTGTAGGTGGTGGCGAACAATGACGATGTTGTGTCTGATAATTTGTCATCGTAATTGATGATGCACGGGTAAATTTCGGTGACAGGGGCTCTTTGACTTGAATGCAAGGTGGAGAAATAGGACGGACGAAGTTTGCAATGGAAGTGGCTGGAGAAGTTGAGCGACTTAAATTAATCGGCGACGTCGACGAAGAATCGATATTTGATGAATCGACATGTGCTTGTCGGTAGTGATGAATGACAGTCGTCGTCGCAATGGATGTTCGTTGTAAACGACGAGATGAGTGAGGCGATGACGAAATTTGTCGTGTTCTACATAGTTCACCATTGTCTTTCGTATCCAGTTTCTTCGGTTTCGACTGTCTTGTTTGTCGGCCAACCGTGTTCCTTTGTTTTCTAGTCGCAGTGTTTCGCAACGTCTGTTGCTTTTGTTTTCGAATATTAGAACTATTCGCAACGGTGACCGTCATTTGACGTGGCTGTAAGTGCAAGAACGAAGTTTTGTATGTCACGCTACCAAGAACGTCGGGCAGATGTGCGGAATGACCATAGAATTTAAAGCGTGTTCCCCAAATGTTAGCAGCTATAGTACATAGCTTGTTAGCCTAATGGACAAAACATGAATCAGTTATTTGATAGGAAAATCTGATTGAGTTACTTTATTCGCTAATCGTTTTCGTGATTGTTTTTCTTGCAAATCACTGAGATTGTCTTCATCGTCTTGATCGGAATCATTGCCCGAACTACAATCAGAATTGTTCTTTGCTATTCGTAGATTTTCGCTTCCATTGTTAACACCTGTATCAGCAACATAGATCGAATTTCGATTTGTAATTAAACCCGAACGGTTCGTATTGATCGTCGATTTCGATTGATGTATGTTTGAAATGTTGTGAAAAGTATTCGGATGAGATTTGGATGACGATAAATATCGTTTGGCGAATGAATGCGATGCATTCAATTTGAACGATGATGATGAAGACAAGATCGGGTTCGTTTTGATTTTCGGATCGTAGATAATGAAATCCGGACAGAGCTTGGATGTCCGTCGAGCTGTTAACAATGGAATAAGTCCGCCGAGATATTCGAGATACAGGACATAAACAGCACCAGACAGATTGTTTGCTGTCGCTGTGGTGGTGGTGGTGGTGGCGGTTGCTGCTGTTTGATTGTCTCGTTCATTATCTACACGCTTCATCGTGCATTGCAAACGTAGATGAGATTTTAATGGATTACAAACGAATATATGCAAATGCTTTTGATCAGGTAGAAAGCCTTTGATAGTTGAACGATAGTAACGTAGAAGATCTTCTTTCAAATTATTCGGCAAATGAAGTTTATCAAGATTTTGTATTGAGTTATATAACAGTTCTTTTTTGATTTTCATCTGACACAATGTCAACATGGACGGCAGAGGTTTATAGGTGATCCAGATTGTGTAAACAAAACAACCACAGGCAACAAATACAATTTCTACGAAAAAAAAACAGAAGACATAGTTGCGAGATGAGTTCCGTTATTTTACCATTGCCATGTGCCCAACATAGCGCGGATAATGATTGACTCTAGAACATAAGATGATTGATGGAAAATTAAACCTATCAGATCGTATGTTAGTGAAAGTATTTATCGTTATTATCAAACTTCCTTGTTGTGAAATCTAATCTTCATTAAATATGTAGCCTTCTTGAGAAGCATCGTATTCGATCAATTAGTTATGTCTCGAAAACAAGCAGATCTCAATGAAACCTAACTCTTCTGTTCTATATTTTTCATCAAAACTCGACTAAAATAGATGAAAATATTACAAAGATCTTCTGCTTTTACCGTTTGAGGAATTGTTAAGCGATATAGGAATTCACCACGACGGGTATAAAACAGGACTTCATTGACATAACTCATATCATCTAAACATCGATGACCTCCAACAGCAAGAATTTCACCAGGCGATGACCAATCCATCTTGATATCTTTTCAGAAGAAAAAAAAACATTATTATACTCCTAATTCGTAAAGTTTCCCTAATCTTACTTTGAAGATGCGTATCAACAGTAATAGGCGACTGATCGAGATAGTGTGTTAGAAAGAGAACCTGACCGTTTTCAAGACTGCATGCAAGAATGTAATCTTCATTAACAAATTTTGTTGCGTCTAAACAGAATTTTCGAAATACAGGAAATGAATTTCACCTAAAACTCACTATTGTCCGGCGCTTCAGGATAGAACTTATTACACGAATAAACTAATTGTTTAATCGTCTGAGATGATAACGGGAAAATGTCAGTTGTATTTCCATGATGATCCATAACAATTAACTGTCCTCCTGTCGTTCCAAGGATGACATGCGAAACATCAGGCATCCATGTTACAGCTGAAATCTTCGCGTGTGGAACATTCAATACTGTTGACCAATAACGTTGGCCAGTAACTGATCCAGCGAGAATGAAATCGTCTTCATAACAAATCACTGTCATACGTCCGTCATGGGACCATGCCATGTCAGTCACCGGATGACTTCGATCGTTGATTAATTCTAATGACCAGCGATTATCATGTTTGACCCAAACGAAAATCACACCTTTCTCATCGACAGTTGCGAGTTTTTCATACGGAACATTCCATGAGACTAAGCGAACTTCCGTTCGATGTGCACGTAGATTGAAATTGGTACGGTCGAGTGGAATTAAATTTTCATCGGATTTTATTGATGTGTATGTAACACTAACGATATGATTGGCATTCCCAGTAGCTAGCCATCCGTCATGAGAACTTTCAGAATGATCGGTATTTGATGCCGTTGAAGTAAAATTCATCCATGATAACGATTGAATGATAGAATCCGTTCGTGCTACATTCGATAATTCAACATATGCATACATAATTTGTGTTCGTTCATCTACGACATTTTGTTTCGTTTGTTTCCTTATACTTGATCTTAAATCGCTGAGAGAGGAAAAAAGAATATCTAAAGAAATAATTATCGAGTGTTTCTCTATTGTTTTGCTTATTATTATGTACTACCACTTTGCTTTGATTAATCTGAATGTCAATGGTGTATTGATGTGTAGGTTTAGCATCGAGAACAGAACGAAAGATAAGAAGAGAAGAAAAAAAGAAGAAAAAAAACTTCTATTTCTAGCAATAGTTTAACTGACAGTTACTGTCGACGATCCATTTCGATTTGAAAGAGTATCTTATCATGATATACATGAATTACCGATAGAAGAGAGTATGTTGTATAGACTAGCAACAATAACAACAACATTACTGATAATAAGAACACGATGAGGATGATGATGACGACGCCGACGGCGACATTGGACTTACTGTTTATCCAACAGATTTTCATCCCTGTCTATATAGCCTTGTTCTATTCTGTGTCTGTCTGCTTTCTAGCCTTCGGAAAGTCTTATACAGAATGAAAAGAACGAATTATGTATGATAAAGTCATGCAAATAATCGAGCAAACGTACACAGAGGAAAGGAAGAGGTTTTCTATTGAGTTACGTTCGGAGAAATGAAAACAGGATGTTGAGAAATACAGAATAAACATCTGCCTGCTCGTGAAAATGGACTTTCATTTTAGTAAATCATCGAACAGTCTGGAATTCTGAATAAGTGACTAGTAAAAAATAAACATCATCATCATCATCATTTAAAAAAGAACAAGAAAGAAAGAAAAAAAGAAAATGAGACAAAATCCTTCATTAGTGCGCATTGGTTTTTTATCAGCGAATCGGCCAGAAATAGAGCAGCATATACCTGACGACATCTGTCGGATGAGGATTTGTCCCGTACGGATTGAATGTCTATTACTAGATATTGAGATTAAAATAGATTTAATTTCAAATAAAACAGAAAAAAAAACAGAAAACTTTCGTGTAAACTTTTTTTCTCGTTTACGTCACAACAACGAAACCATTATAAGCTGATGCTGAAGAAGGATTATTCATTGAATTATGGCTATGACTGTGATGAGTGACTTGTGGTTGCATGAACGTATGAGTTTGTCGACGATACCAGTCATCTTTAAATATGTGAATTGTGAGGATTTGAACCACATTAGCTAATTTGTTCCAAACATGTGCTAAAACTAATTGTTCATCGGCATCACGACTAAAAACAAAGAGAATAGTCTGAACTTCTAGTTCGTTTATCTAGATTGTTCTATGCTTTTTGTATGCGTATCATGTCGATATCGATCGATCGTACTTGGATGAACTCTGATTAGCAACTGTATTTAAGCTAGTTAAAAATTAGATTATCGATTAGACGTATTAGGGTACGCAAATTGATGGAAATCATCATTAGACAGTAACTATCAACTATCATTAAACATGCCCGAAGATCAATCTGAAATCAGTGATAACGATATCTAATCTTCTAGACACCGAAAAAGCCTTCATTCGAAGGTCAGTAGAGTAATAAAAGAGATATTTGAAAGCATCTTACCGGCAGCGAACATGTAGCGATCCAACAAGTGTCCCAAACGACAAAGCCCAAAAATGCTCATGCCGAAATTCGAGAACGCCGTCGAGTCTCGATGCTTCATGTAAACATTTATCCAATTGTCCAATCATATGTGCTGGAGTTGTCTGTAGCAATATCTTTCCACTGTAAACTGCCATTGGTACCATTGTTCCGAACGTCATAAAAGCCATCAATAATGATGATAATGTGTCAACAAAATGTCCGTATCCCATTGTTAATAAGAATGAATCCGAGAAGATGATGGCTAACCCACACCAACAGAGTAGCGCTAATGGATTGATACGTGGTAAAAGTAAACGACTTAGACCAGGTATGTAATGGCATAGATTTTGGAATATGTCACTAACATGTTCTTGTAGCCAACTCGATGAACTCGCAGCGATGACATGATCGAATGATTGATTCGGAACGAAATAAATAACAATTAGATGCATGAAAAACGTGATGAATGACGCTGGCATAAGATATCCGATGTGTATGGGTTCGTTTTCAAGAAATTTCTCAATTGACTCCTTCAGAATGAAAAAAGCTCCAAGAATAGAGAGCATCGTAGATGTAAACACAGCGAGAACTTCGAAACGCGCTGTTCCATACGAGAATGTTGCTACCGTTTGTGTTGGAATGAAAAGTGCAGTAGAACTATCATTGTTGGTTGACTGAATCTTTTGACGAACTTTTGTATTTCGATTTTCAATATTCCACGCCGAAAGTAAAGCAGTGCCGATGAAGAGTAAGTCGAATATGCACAGTGAACAAAATGCTTGTAATGCCATGGAATTGGTTTGACCAGCCAAGGTGAAGACAACCAGACATGATACTAGGGTCCCCATCGTGATGATCACCGTACTGCGTGAATGGGAACCTTTCAGAAGATAAAATAAAGATCGTAAAACCGATGTCGCTGTATTCATAATGATCTAAAACAACATTTCATTGGGATAGTAAAGAAATGTCAATACATAATTAATATTCAAGGATAACATTGAATAGTTTGTTCTTCATACGTGTATTGATAACATTTTTACTCGGCGGCAGCAATATTCGCTAAATTAAAGATTCATACTGGCGTGATCGCAACCAATAGCTCTCGATTCCGTAGATGGCAGTTTTGAAAACGTGATCTATGGGAATCTGTCATATAATTTTCTTCAATAAAATAATTTTCTTTTTCAATTGATTGGTAAAATCAAATTTTTTTTCACAAAAAATTCCATTTGAGAAAAATCAGATAACATTTCCCTTATCAAAATGTCATTTTATCCAATAGTCTATTACCACCACTACTAGCCATTAAAAAAAACGATCAATCAGTTTCTTCGACAAACAAAACGTACGATTCCTGTTCTTGACCTTCATTCTTCTCCATTGGCGCGTCCTGTTGTTTTAATTAAACGTAAATAGGAACAAACGTCTTCATTTTGTTTTCTCTATTTAGATAATCATGAAATATCTCGTGTTCATATTGTTCGTCTGTTTACTAAACTTCTCCATATTCAAAGCACAAGATGATGACTATAATATGGACGAAGACATTTCGATCGACGAAACTTCAAGCAGTTCATCATCGTCAGCAGCAGCAAATATTGAGAAAGGAAGCGTGCCGACAATCAAATCTGCATCAGCAAATATTTATTTTGAAGATCAATTTCAAGATAAATCGAAATGGTCACGTTGGGTGAAATCTCAAGCAAAGAAAGATGATGTTGATGAGGTCTTAGCCAAATACGATGGAGAATGGGGTATAGAAATTCCACAATCATCCGTTTATAATGATGACTATGCGCTGATTCTCAAAGTAAACAACATGATTTGACAAAGCCAAGGACGACTCATCGCAAAACGTTCTCTGTTTTTCTTTTAGTCAAAAGCAAGACATCACGCTATCAGTGCGAATCTATTCAAGCCATTTGATTTTTCAACTAGTCCACTTGTTGTTCAATACGAAGTCAAATATCAAACCAATCAAGAATGTGGTGGTGCTTATGTGAAATTACTTTCTCATACCGGCAAACAGCTCGATTTGGTAAGCGAAAAAACACGTTGGATGAGAATGATTTCGAGGTGATGGATTTTATTTAGAAACAAGTTACTGACAAAACCCCATACACGATTATGTTTGGTCCCGATATGTGTGGTGTCGATCATAAATATCACTTCATCGTTCGTTATCGAAACCCGAAAACTGGCGCCTATAGCGAACACCAAGCGAAGAAACCAACCGAACCGTTAGATACTTACTTCACAGATAAAAAATCGCATTTATACACACTTGGTAAGTAGAGAATGAGCGTTAGGCGTCAAAACATGATGTCATAATTTGTTTTTGTATAGTTTTATCGGCTGACAACAGTTTTAAAATGTATATTGACAATAAAATAATCAATTCTGGTAGTTTATTGGAAGATATGGAACCGTCAATCATTCCACCGAAAGAAATTGTTGATGAAACCGATCGAAAGCCCGATGATTGGGACGACCGAGAAAAGTAAGATGAAAAAAAGAAGAACAATTATTCGCGAGTGGGATTATATTTGCACTTTAGAATTGCCGATACTACTGCTCAAAAACCAGAAGGTAAGCAGATGGTTGAGATTTTCTAAATGAATCTATTTGTGTTGCGGTTCTTTTCGATAGATTGGGATGAAACTGAACCAAAAGAAATAGCCGATCAATCAGCTAGTATTCCCGATGGTTGGCTTGAGAATGAAGCTGTAATGATTCCTGATCCGAATGCAGTTAAACCCGCTGACTGGTAAGATTAATCAACGCTTTGCATTGTCAATAGTCGAACTGGTAAACCGTCTTTTGTTATAGGGATGATGACATTGATGGTACATGGGAAGCTCCAAGTATTGATAATCCTGCATGCAAAGATGCTCCTGGTTGCGGCGAATGGACAGCGCCAATGATCTCTAATCCAGCTTACAAAGGTATCTGGCGTGCTCCATTAGTTGACAATCCAAACTATCGTGTATGTAAAATACTCTTTTTCGCCTAATTTTTTTTTCTATTCGTTTTCTCTTCATTTTTAGGGCAAATGGGAACCACGTAAAATACCCAATCCCGACTATTTCGAAGAAAATCATCCGTATAAGTTAACTCCAATCGGAAGTGTTGCACTTGAACTTTGGTCGATGGTCGATGGTGTTGTTTTTGATAATTTCATCATTACTTCGGATCAATCGATCGCCAAACAATACGATGACCAAATTTGGTATCCAAAATCAGTGCTCGAAAGCAAAGCAATCTCAGCAGCCTCGGATAGTGTCGTTGACGCTGTTATCAAAGCTACTAAAGATCGTCCATGGTTATGGGCTGTGTACGTCGTAGCTATTTTATTGCCGTTGGTTCTTATTTTTGTCTTCTGCTGTCCGAAGAAGTCAGCGAAAAAAGCTGCTGATGCCATCAGAAAGAAAACGGATGCGATCGAAGCAGATTCCAATGATCAACAATCATTGAGACGTGCTGAAGAAGATGAGGATGAACCTGAAGAAATTAAAGAATCACAAATTAAACGCACAGTTCGACCAGCGACTGGCCGAGATGCGCTTGAAAATGAAGAAGAAGTTGAAGAAGATGAGGTAGGTGAAAATCAAGTTTTTATATAGATTCACTTGTTTCTTTTAAGACTGTTGAATCAACTGAAGATGATAAGAGTAAGAATTCTTCTCCATCGGCTGGTGGCAAAGCCCGTCGACGAATGCGAAAAGAATAATTGAAAAATTTACCTCTCTTCCCTTTTTTTTCTCTCTTTTTAAATCAGTTGCTATCCGGACTTCTCTCTACTTCTCAACGATATTAACCAAAAAAAGAAAAATCATGTCCATTTGTTTTTTTTTCCTATTAACTATTCCATTTGTCTGTACTTCTCGTTCTTTTTTCTCGTTGTTTCTGTCGGTGGACCTATGTCGATTTTGGTTTCTTTTTTGTACTTTATCATCTTGTTCGCTTCCTTCTTGTCTACACACCATATGTCTTCTGCTGTTAGGAATTTTATCTCTTCATTCGTATGTCTCTTGCATATAAAATCAAGATTTAAAACAAATAAAATTTAGAAAAAAAACACACATTTATAGAGCAAAGAAGTCGCAGTCAAACGACTGTTTTACTTCAACTCTACGCTCGAGTGTAAACATTCACCATCTTCTCTAGGAAGTGCAATTTCTGCTAAAATGAATCTAAAAGATGTCATTAAACAATGAAGCCAACTGTAATTTGATCAATGTCACACCAGCAAGAATATGAATGCACTAGAATGTCGGATAGACGTCATACTCATCTGTAATTATTAGTGGAATTCAATATCTACATTCATTGTATAAAAACATCTTTTGTTTTCTTTAAATCGAATTGAAAGACGCTGATGCAGAACTAAGCGATATTCTTTCTCATCGTGTGAATGTCTTGTTTTCTCTCCATTAAATCCTTGATTATTATCGTTATTATTTCATCATCTATAACATTTGTTCTTCGCTTCTTTCTGCTCGGTAAGGATGTAATAGATATATTCGACGTATCCATATGGAACAAATGTTGTCCTTCGCTACTTATTTTCCTCTATCATCGTTAACATTCTTCTCGTAGTATCTTAAATAAGGCCGACAACAACTAATACATTATCTATGTAAATAAGTTTGACGCCGACGTATTTTGGTCAATATGACAATCAGTATAGGCGGCTCGGATATTTCGTCTGAACCGATATCATTGATTCGAGTACCTGAAGAAATCAAACGAACACAACAGATTCTCATATTTCTCATCTCAATTGTTCTAGTAAGTTGGATCAACAAGATCAAACATACTTCGAAGATATAAGATGTTAATCTTCTCTAGAGTATTCATGTAATCATTTTTATCGTGGTTATCTATTCGTTATCGATCAATTATCGAACAAATACATTCGAACCGATTATTAATCTTTGCTGGATCCTATTCTTCGCGATTGGATTGTTTGTTACACAGAGATATTACGTTATGGGGTTATTCATTGTTCGTATGAAAGATATCATTGTTCAATTGAGATTTAATTCTTTCGGTTGTTCTAGTTCGCGTGGTTAGGAATCCTAAATATCGTCTTGACATGCATGTTGATCGTATTCGTTACAGTGGCAATCGTTATCATCACTTCTCAATCGTCAAAACAGAATAATGGAATACCATTTACTATCATTCCAATTGTTGCATGTTTGACAAGTGTTATACTAGACGTAAAGATACATATCTGTTCACCTCGTTAGGTATATGTGATTATCTTTTCAGGCAATTGTTGTCATATTCTCATTCAAACTATGGTATTTGATTATCAAAAATCAACGGCCGACAAATCCGCATCACGTTTGAACTCTCCTATTCTCCAACGAAATCAATTTGGCGTTTGTATATGCATCTCTGAAAATAAATATTCTTTGTTTTGTCAGAAAAAAAAGTCAAAATGGAATTTAGGTTAAAGAAAATCTAGGCAACTATGACGTTGCTCTCCACATTGAAAGTATTTTCGAAAGCTTATAATGTGTGAAAACCAACAGATGTTTGTTGAAATCAAAACTATAAAACGAAAAACGAGAGCCATAGCTTAAAAAAGAATCAAAAATGATTCGTCTTGCTTTTCTTCTGTTCCTAACCACAGTGGCATCGAGTTCAATGTATCGACCCATTGTTCTGATGCACGGAATAACATCGTCAGCGGCTGGAATGGATGAACTAGCTGGTTGGCTTCGTACTTCGTTTCCAGGAGTTTATGTTATCTCTGTCGAGATTGGCAATGGCGTTGACGATTCATTTCTATGGCCATTAGATAAACAAGTTGAGCATTTTTGTGAAACAGTCCTTGCCGATGAACATCTTCGGCAAGGTTTCAATTTGTTAGGATATTCTCAAGGAAGTATTATTGCTCGTGGTGCATTGGAAAGATGTTCACTACCTGTTCATAATCTAATTACACTGAGTGGCATTCATCAAGGTGTCTTTGGTATTCCGTACTTGTTGAAATTGCCAGCACAATTTCGCGAATTAGTATCAAAATATGCGTATGAGACTCCCGTACAAAATGTCATTAGTGTTGCGAATTATTGGCGCGATCCCGATCAATTGGATAGATTTCGATCACATTGTCATTTTCTTCCGGACATCAATAATGAGCGTGAAGTACGGAACGAAACTTATCGTAACAATATGTTGAAATTAAACGCTTTCGTGATGACTTATTCGGACATCGATGAAATTATTTCACCCAGACATTCCGGTTTATTTATGGGTTACGCACCGAATTCGTTGCATGTTGAAACATGGAACAATTCGAGACAATTCACCGAGGATCTTATCGGCATGCGAACATTGTGGGAACAAGGCAAATTGTATACATTCACAGCGCATGTCAAACACCAAGATGTGCCACATGCTCCCAACAAAGATTTTCTTGTGCAAAATATCTTTCCATTTTTTAATAATACTCTTCCTTAATGCAGAGAATACATGCTTATAATTCTCTAGACATAGGTCTAGCGAGAACATTTAATAGAACTGTGTTCTATTTCTCCTTTTTTCTCTCGTGCACTTATATATGTATACTAGGTTAGAAAAAATATTTTGATAGGGGAGTACTGTCATATTTCCAAATAGAGTTACTAATGAATTTTGTACCAAATGAAAGCTCGCCGTCAAAAATGGGATCGAATGGTATGATTTGCCGTTCACAAGATTATAACAGGCTTTAGAAATATTAAAATGTTCTAATTTTAAACACATATTTTGGACAATTTCATGGGATAATTCACCATTAAAACACAAAATTCTTCCGTCTTTTAGGCTTTTTAAAGGTCATTTTGCTGATCATTTTCATAGAAAAAGGTTTTGAAATTTGATTAATAAATAAGGATGTTAGAGTCAAAATACTGATAGTCTTTGGCTGTTGTGGGCCGATACAACAAATATGCTTATAGCCATATTGACTTTAACATCCTTATTTATTAATCAAATTTCAAAACTTTTTTCTATGAAAATGATCAGCAGAATGAGCTCTAGAAAGCCTAAAAGACGGAAGAATTTTGCGTTTTAATGGTGAAGTGTTCCATGAAATTGTCCAAAATATGTGTTTAAAATTAGAAAATTTTAATATTTCTAAAGCCTGTTATAATCTTGTGAACGGCAAATCATACCATTCGATCCCATTTTTGACGGCGAGCTTTCATTTGGTACAAAATTCATTAGTAACTCTATTTGGAAATATGACAGTACTCCCCTATCAAAATATTTTTTCTAACCTAGTATACATATAGAATTTTCCCTTTTTCTTGCTTTGAGATTTTTCTCTCTTCTCTGTTGTTCCCCTTTGTCTTCGTTTGTTTTTTTCCCACTCTACAAGTAAACTGACAGAACTCACGTCTAGTCACCAAACAGATTTACACTTAAGAAATAAAAAGTCGACTTCAATTGACAACGATGTTCTACTCACTCTTCTGTATGCAGGCGCAATTCGAAACACATAGATGGCGCCATGCACCGGTTGATTATGTGAAAATCATTTATTCCGAAACTATTTAATTAAACTAATTCGAACACTTTTAATCATTTCAAGATCGAATTGACTTCATTTTAAATATCAATCTTTCCATCATTGATCCAGTTTGATTGGCTCGTGTTGGCATAGTCTTCGTCACACTATTTGTTTATCTCTCTCTTCCTTCATTCTTTCTATAAATATAGTTTCGTGCAGTTTCTGTTTTGATCAAATCTTCACTTCACCAGTTTTCACAAAGTATCGTACATTGAAAATGATTTATTTTCATATCTCCTATTACGCTTCGACGACTGCAATATGATGTATATTTTAGATTGTATTTTGTTCTGTTTCAAACGACCAACATGTCGACATTTCTGCATGTTAACATTTCATGATGTAAGTGTTATTTTTTTCTTAAAAACTATTTCACGTTGATTGACATCGGTTTAGTCGCTCGACGAGTGCTAATATTTCGGCAAGTTCTCAAATGACATCGTCAGATATTGCAAATAATACTTCGGGTTTCAAAACCGGTTTAACTTGGGATTTAACTCCATACGAGCAACAACGCAAACCACACGAATTACTACATGATGAGGAATTGCTCATCAGTCCTAAATCTCTTCAAAGTGAATTAACTTGTCCCATTTGTCTCGATCTTCTGCGTAACACTCGTACCACAAAGGAATGCTTACATCGATTCTGCTGCGATTGTATCGAAACAGCATTGCGTAGTGGAAATAAAGAATGTCCAACATGTCGGAAGAAACTGATTTCCAAACGTTGTTTACGTCGAGATCAAAATATCGATGCCTTGATCTCGAAATTGTTTCCTGTACGTAACGATAACGATGATTTAATTTTAACCAATCGAAGTAAATACTCGAAAAAGCCAATACGCGCCAGTTTATCGTCTGACGACGAACATCACACCAAAGACAAGAAGAAGAAACGCATTTCAGAATCCTCATCATCAGCTGGTTCGATTCCAACAATCAACGACATCGAATTACAGTTAAAACCAATGAATAATCAACATTTATTTACAACAAGGAAAATCCTTACACCCCTAAACGCCTCAATCAATCACTTGTCCAAATTCATCAATACACGAATGAAACTTGAACAACAGAACTCGTCTTACATCGAGCAAGAATTTCAATGGTTCATTAACCTCAACGATGATATTCCTATCGAAAATACGTTAACATTAG